CACGTTTAATGCAATCCCTATCAAAATACCATGGACTTTCTTCAGAGACTTAGAACAAATTATTTTAAGATTTGTGTGGAATCAGAAAAGACCCCAAACAGCCAGGAGAATTTAAAAAAAAAAAGAAAACCATATCTGGGGGCATCACAATGCCAGATTTCAGGTTGTACTACAAAGCTGTGTTCATCAAGACAGTGTGGTACTGGCACAAAAACAGACATATAGATCAATGGAACAGAACAGAGAACCCAGAAGTGGACCCTGAACTTTATGGTCAACTAATATTCGATAAAGGAGGAAAGACTATCCATTGGAAGAAAGACACTCTCTTCAATAAATGGTGCTGGGAAAATTGGACATCCACATGCAGAAGAATGAAACTGGACCACTCTCTTGCACCATACACAAAGATAAACTCAAAATAGATGAAAGATCTAAATGTGAGACAAGATTCCATCAAAATCCCAGAGGAGAACTCAGGCAACACCCTTTTTGAACTTGGCCACAGTAACCGGAGAAGGACAAACAGTGTATGTTCTCATTCATTTGGGGAATATGAATAATAGTGAAAGGGAATATAAGGGAAGGGAGAAGAAATGTGTGAGAAATATCAGAAAGGGAGACAGAACATAAAGACTTCTAACTCTGGGAAATGAACTAGGGGTGGTGGAGGGGGAGGAGGGCGGGGGGTGGGGGTGAATGGGTGACGGGCACTGAGGGGTACACTTGATGGGATGAGCACTGGGTGTTATTCTGTATGTTGGTAAATTGAACACCAATAAAAATTAATTTATAAAAAAAAATGAATGGTAATCAACAAAGCAATCTTGTTATTTATGGAAGATTGTAACCCTGAGACATTTTGAAACTTGTGAGGCTTAAGAAGTTCTGATACTTATGGTTTATGCTCTTTAGTTTCATGAGTCATTTTTCTAGTAGAGGAATTGTAATATCAACTCCATAATGCTGGCTGTAACAGGAGGGCAACAAGATCTTGAGGGATGGTAAGATTCTACTTAAGTTTACAAGTGTGCTATATTGGATAGAGCATGGTTGGTGCCAGAAGACCTGGGATTTAGCTCCAGTCTACATGATTTGCATAAACTACTGAAATTCTTTGAGCTAAATTCCCTAATTAGTAAAATCAAGGGAAAAAATAAACTCCAGGGCTTTTCTTAACTAAGACACCAATTTGGAATTTTTTTGTAAACTATAAAGTGTTAAATGATAGCTGGCACTGTTCTGTTTAAATGGAAAATATGAGTTAGCATGCATTTAGTATAATCTTTTAGAAAGCTTTAGGACTTACCAAAAAGTCTTATTATCAGTAGGTTTAGAAATTTGATGTTCTTCACAGGAGTCTATTTTCATGTATCTTTCAAATTTCAGTTTTTAAGATAAAAGATTTCTATTTTATCCTTGCTAAGAGCATGAACAGAATAAACAATGAGATCTTTAAAGAATGTTCTATAAATCAATAGCAAAATCACACTCCTATATCACTGTGGAAAGCCTGATTACTGTATATAACCACACTCTTGGTCCAGTGAGTATTCATGTTTAATAATTAAAATAATCACTAATTTCTATTGCTGTTCCTTTGCTATTTCATAAGGTATGCACTATTGGTCTTTAAGTATTTCACTCTCATTGGCTGTGGACTCTAAATCATTATTTGTTGGTTATAGACCTTTACAATGCCCAGTGGCATTTGCCACTGATGACAGCAATAACAGATGATGTTGAGCCAAAGCTACTGGGAGTGAAATGCAGAAAGTAAAATGATAATAAATAATTGTCACTCCATTACTAAACAGTGCCTGAAATTGGTTCTACTACATGTTCGATATAGCAGAGTCTGCATAATCCAAGAACCAAAAAGACATTTAACAGCAAACAAAAAGGAACCCAAGCACATGTCTTGTTCAGTGACCAGAGCATGGCATGAGTATTCAATCCATTTCAAAATCTTACGATATCTTCTCAAACTGATGGTATTTGGGAAATATGTCAAAAGATATACTCAGTCCAGTGGATGCAAACATCCGGAATGTTAGATAGTCTCAATGCATATGAGACTGAACATAGAAATATATTCCAAACATAGAATTACAATTATAGAGAATATGAGGTCTGTTAGGGGTGCAAGATACATGAAAGAAATCATAAAACTTATCTAAACATGATCATTTTGCTCAGGTGTTTGGGTGGGGGACATTTTGAGCTGGCCTGCTATGGGTACAGAATCTGTAGGAATAAACTCACAAGTCAGATATTCAATGAGAGATTTTTATTTGAGTTAATTACCCATACTATACAGTAATTGCCCTTTAACATTTAAAAGAAAATTTGTATTCTTCCTCCATCTCTCAGACTACTACAACATCCCTTCTTTCCACTGATGGTGAATAAATTCATTGTGGTGGTGGTGGTGGTTTATTTGCTTGTTAGTAAAAGACTCATTTCACTAACTCTGTATTTTAAGTGAGTTGACATGTAGTAATCACCAAAGTTCTTTATCTGAAAACATAATCCACTTACTAGACAAGTTATATAAAACTGTGCCTCAGTGATCTTATTAGTAATAATATAATAAAGGATAATATATAAATATATCAGGATAATATATAAATATATCAAAGTTAATGTGATAATTAAGTAATTCATATGCTGTGACTATCTTCTCTTATTTTTCGTCAAAAGCAGAACCTAAAAATGGAAGGTAACTTATTCTGGGATGAAATCTTGGGGAACAGAACTGGGATTCTGGGAAGAATGGATCAGGAAAAAAATAAAGGAAGGAAAATCCAAAGATATATTATCAAGGTGTTTGCCATGGTAGAGGCATGGCTTGAGCCCACTGGGAACCCTCTGAAGACCTATGGAAAATGCAAAATGGTCTATCCAAGGAATATAAGAGTGTTCATCAAGGTTGCTCTGTGGAGTATTAATGCTTCACATAAGATTGTGTATGTATTAGAATATCTGAACAGCTTCCAGAGGGATTCCACACAGCAATTTCAGAGAAGCCTCAAGGCAGGAAATGAATAAAATCTAAGCTACTCAGAATTTATGCAGGGAGATTTACTAGAACAGCAACTGACCAGGTTGTATATAATGTTACTCCCAGTAGATTTGATGGTTAGGGTGCTAACTTGCCACTAGACTTTAGTGAGGGTGTTGCCAGGGCCATTCCAAACAAACTGGCCTGTCAGGGAACTGTGCACAGTAGAACACAAATCCAGAACACAGAGCAGTTCCAGGGTGATTTCTACATGGTTAGAAACAGTGGCTTCCATGAAAGATTCTTAAGATCCAGGACCATGGAGATCATCAACTTCTTACATTACAATAGTCAGGGGGTATCTAGCTGGCCTGTAACCCCAGCCAAGAGCAAAGTTACAAATCAAAATAGTAGTAATAAGAAGTTTAAAATATATGCTAAGAAAATAAGCATAAATTTTTATAAATGTTATAAAAGACTTTCATTTGCATTATCCTCTTTGAAGCTATCAATAATGCTGTGAGAAGGCATGATATTATTCTTTCCATTTTTAGATGAAGAAATTTGAAGTTTCTAAGTCTCAAGGTCTTAAGCAAAACTTCATTGTCTATATGTGATGATCCAGAATGAGAAGTATATTATGTTGATCCTAATCCCAGAATCCTAAAAGGTACCTGTATTGTAACAAAAGTTCCTCCATCAATTATTTTGTAAGTCCTGACAGCTACTCTCCCCCTCTAGTGGCTACCTCCATAGCCTAAATGAATCACTCATTTACTTACCTGAAAGCATGAGCAAACTATACTGTTAGCAAAATTTATTTCCAAATCCATTGCCATTTGTGAAAATTGATCTCTTACCAAAGATGACTACTAGATTTGAAGGAAACTTATTTCAGATGCTGGGTGCCCCCAGAGAGTTTCCAAAATGAACTGGCTTCTGGAGGGTTGAGAATTAACCCAAATAATCATCAAGGAATGGAAGCTCAAGAAAATCACCATTTCTAATAGAACATAAGTGACTAATATATGTCAATTCTAAGTAATCTGAACATTTGAGCATATGGAACTGTCTTAAATTTTTCTTTTTCTATCCATCTCCTAAGGTAATGTCACTGAATTTAACCAATTAATAATAATAATAATAATAATAATAGTGATAATAATTATACTATCCATACTACAACTACAAATAATAACTAATGATTATCGAGAACTTATTATGAGCTAAGCAGTGTGTGAAGTGCGCTACTAGTTAACTTAATTATTTTCACAATAATCCACATATCGAGAGTACCAGTAGTATTCTTATTTTACAGATCAGAGAACCATGTTAGAGAAAGGTTGACTAAGTTTCCCAGATAACACAGCAAGGAATGACTAATTTAGATGTGTTCTAGTCTTAGCTGCTATGCTACTACGCTATACTGCCTGGCTTTCAGACCCAAACTGTGTAGTCTGGTCTGCAGCAGAAAGCTATCATTGATTAGGAAACCAAATTTTCACTGGTTCTAAGTAAAGTGAAATACAACATCTCAGAGTAATTCAGAAGTTGATCAGCATCTTTGGAGGGGTGTGTATATGTGTGTGTTGAGGGTAAGAGGAGAAGGCAACATTGCAGAAAGGAAGAAAAGTAAAAGGGTAAGTTTCACAGAAGTGTTTTTTTCTCCTAGAATTTCAGAGCATATTTATAACTTCTTGGTTTCCCTTTTCTACCCTAAACAAATGTGTACACATTTCAATTTCATGTTCCCCTGACTACTATAAAGATCAAAAGTGGTATGAAGCGATTTACTACCTGATCAAAAATGGTCTGACTGTGATCTTTCAAGGTCAAGGAAGTAATTCCTCTCATGCTGCAGCCCCTAGATTCTGAGGCTCTTCCTCCTGTGCTTTACAAAACCAGCTCCAGATCCAGGAGTCCCACCTGTGAGAGGCTGCCTGATTGACAAGAAGAGGGCACAGCATACAACTCTCCTCCCAGGGAGGTAACTTACCCGGTCAGTTTTCCCTTCAGTCTGAATGCTGGTGTGACTGCGTACCTCTTGTTCTTCCTCCAAGTCAGAAACATCCTCCAGTTCCTCTGGGGTCTATAAAAAGAAAGCAAAGCATTGCTGGTGAGAATGCAAATGGAAAAAAAAGTCTGGCAGTATCTCAAAAAAAAAAAAAAAGCACAGAGTTATCAATATGACCCAGAAATTCTATTCCTAGATATATACCCAAGATAAATCAAGATATGTGTCCACACAAAAACTTGTAAAAAAAAAAATGTTCAAGGCTCCACCAATTGTAATAGCCAAATAGTAGAAACAACTCAAACAAACACCTACTGAGGAATAAACAGAATTCTATAAAATAGAATATTATTTGGCTTTGAAAAGAAATGGAGTACTAATACATGCTGCAACATAGGTGAAGATGTTATGGTAAGTGAAATAAGTCAATCACAAAAGATCATATGTTGTATTATTCCACTTGTATGAAATGTCTAGAACAGGCAAGTCTATAGAGACAGAAATGTGATTAGTGGCTCCTAAACCAGGCGGAGGGAGTGAACAATGACTGCTTATAGGTGTGCAGTCTCTCCTTGGGATGCTCACAACATCCTGGAATTTGATAGTGGTAATGATTGCATGACTGTGTGTATATACTAAAAAAAAAAATCAGTTTTACACTTTGAAATGGTGAATTTTGTGGTATGTGAATTATATCCCAATAAATGTTGAAAGAAAAAGAAAGCAAAATAATCAAGAGGAAGCTTTTCTCTGGATGAATAGTAATTTGGCTAAGCACTATGTTGTCATCATAAAGTAGGTGTTCACATGTGATAAATAGATGGGACAATTATAATTAAAACTATATGCCATGGGATTTTTTTATGCCACAAAAATTATTACGAATTTAACTTTTCTAGGAAATTAAATAATAAATTTTTTAACTTCAGTGTCTAAATAGCTAACCTACTTCCATTTCCTTTTATCAATTTCAGCTCAAACGTCTTATATCAGGGTGGTGTCCTGCTCAGGAAGACAAGGGTTCGTTGGGTTTCTCTGCCAAGCCTCTCCAGATCCCTCTACTTCTACTGTCATAATGCTCACCATACATGATTGTTTGTTGAATCAGGCAGCCAGTTGTTTATGAGGTAAGGACTGGGTCTGCCCTACTTGCTGTCCTATCACTACAAGAAGCACATCCATGCTTTTGAATGGTTGAAGTAAAATTATCAGTGATAGCTGATTGGATATGAGCATAAGAAAATCTATCAATGGCAATAGCAAACACTCATCCTAACTGTACCTTTACTGTGCTTCCATCTTCCACATTTCAAACTAATTTTTTTATCAATCTTATATTATTTTTCCTAATCTCACTTAATCTCTTCTCCTTAATCTCATTGGGCCAATAATTTAAAGGTATCTGTCATTATTGCAAATCCAAGTAAAAGCACTTAAGAATTAATTTAATATTTATTTTCATTTAAATTATGTATGATTCATTTAATACAAAGCCTTGGTAAGAAATGCAGAAATCAGTTTTCATGAAAAGCAACCAAATGTAAAGTGGAAGATCTCTTCTGTACATATGGCTGTTAAAGACTGGGAAAGGGCAGGGCTTGCCTCCCCATTCCAGCCCTGGTTTCCCTTCAACCTTGCTTTGCACACAGGCCTTTGTTTATTTTCAAGGCTATGGAGAGTTTACCTTCCCTTGGACCACTCCAGAGATGGGAACTTGCAATAATTAAAACTACCTATTTCCTAACACTAGTGGCCTCGGATTTGTTAAAGCTCTACGAGATGCACTGAGCATCACCCAATCCTCTGCAGTTATTTCAACGAATTCCAGTTGGATATTAATGATCCTCTTCCTGGCAAGGCCTCTAGTATCCTTGAGTAATTGTTATGTATGTATGTTTATTTCTACATGCAGCCCCTTTTTTGCTGTGACACTGTGCAACTATGGTCACAGGGCAATTTATTATATTTTCTTAGGTATTAATAACATGAGTTCACTGCTGTGGAACTTCTACACAACCACACATGTTTTATTATTAGCCATTTTTGTGTATTCTTCCCATAGTATTCTTGAGAAAGAATCTTTGCTATTTCCTTCCTTGATATATCACCAGCCTCTGAAACATCTGAATAAATTCAATTGATCAAATTCCTTTTCTTGGGTCCTGTTGTTTTGCAACTGAGGCTGTCTGGTGCCCCTACTGTGATCTGTTCCTTATAAATGTCTGCTGTTAATAACTTGGATTATACTCTACCGTGAGGTGACATATAACTTCATCATTGATTCCATTATTTTATTCAACTCAAAATAAAGTGACTTAACAGAAACTAAGAACAACCGCTGCTGTCAGAAGTCATAAGAACCATTTTTGTTGGTGATACTGCAGGAAGAGATAAGCCTACCATTTACGCCCACATACTTCTGTTTTTTTTTTGGGGGGGGGTGGAGGGTGCAGGAGTTGTCTTTAACATAGGACTAATCAGTTTTCTTGCAAAGTCACCACAACTGACCTCTTCTTTTCAGAAACAAAATCAGTGGGGGAGTGTTCAAAACATTTGCTGGCAGCATTTTGTATTCTGTAAGGCAAGCAGTTGGCTGGTATTGCAAAAATAACAAGTTAAATATACAATGTTATAGTTAAATTAAGTGGAAACTAAGAGAGAAATAGGAATACTCTAATCACTTTTGAGGTGATACATTAACTACTTCAGGGCTGAAGACAAATAATAATAATAAAGCAAGCATTGTAAAAGAGAAGAGGAATGCAGGTACCCTGTATTTTACACTCTTAAAAAAAGCTTCCTCCTACTCATCCAGTAATTTTGGAAGATGCAAACATCTGGGAGGTGTGTGTGTGTGTGTGTGTGTGTGTGTGTATTTCTAATTAATTTTCATTCTAGGGGAAGGGAGACCAACTATCCTAGAGCAGCGTCATGTATTAGAAAGATCCAAAAATGTTGAGTAATAGAGACCTAAATTTGAATTCTGGCCCTCTGATCAGTGATTGTGGGACTTTGGGCATTTGTGTACCATTTTAAACTTTGGTTTCCTCAGAACAAAGTTTTACATAATAATACCTAACCCTGAAGTTTATTGAGAGGCTCAATTGTAGTAAGAAGATTTAAGTAAGAATTACTTCGCCAACAAACAGCTGGAGTGTAGGAAAAGTTTGTTTCTTTGTTTCTATTGCTTTTTCTCCTCTTCTTCCACTATTCTAACCCTCCTCCCATCACACTTTATATTTTTGGATAAAACATTTGTGGCAATTTGAATATCTCCATTTTACTCCAAATTTGTTATTCTGGATTGATATGATACTTACTAGCTGCTTCTAATTACATTCAACCCATTTTGAGTATATAAAGTCCTGTGCTGAACAAGGTTTAATATAATTCCACACATATTGCTCTTTCTTAAGTTCCCAGTAAAGATTTGTTTTAATCTGATTTAAATTATCCCTTAAACTGGGCCCAGCAAAGATTCACTCACATAGATTCTCAGTGATGATGCAAATAACTTCCCCTCTCTGAACTGGGCTCTTAATCAAACCAAGAGAAAGATATCTTTCTTCTTCTTCTTCTTTTTTTTTTTCCTGGAAAGAGTGTTAATAAACTCAGTTATTATTCATCTATTTCTTATATGAGAATTCAGGAAAACTATTTCATGTGTTTCTATTTTAACTCTTGTTTGTTGTGAAGCATTTCTTAGGTAGCTCAAAGTGATTTTAAATTAGCTTAGTTTCTTCACCTGGTAAAATGGCAAAACTATTACCTAATTCTTGGGGTAATTGTGAGAATAAAATGAGATGATGAACTGGAACATTATTCAGAGACTAGAAAGTATTGAAGTTGAATATTTTTTGTGATTATTATAAATTATTATTATAAATTTTATTATAAGGCCCCACTTTATGCAAGAGGCCAGAAACAAGCATAGAACTTGGAAATATTCAGGCTGAGGTTTTCATATAGAAACTGGAGCTTCAATGACTATAGTGGCACATTAAACTTCAGAGTCATAATAAACTTATATATAAATGTATATAGACTTACCAAGATAGAAATGGCTGCATTTATATAACTTTTTTTCCCAAGGCACTTAATGCTCTCTACAGACTTTATCTCATTAATTCTTTCAGCATTCCTAGTGAATGCTATGCAGGATTATTATACATAAAAATTCACTGGCACAGACTTTATGAATGCTTACATTTAAAATATTTAAAAAAAGAAACTTGTGGTCACCAAAGAGATAAGAAAAGAGGAAAGAAAAGAAGAGAAAGAAGGAAAAAAAGAGAAAAAAAAACAAGAAAAATATAGTCTAGGATTAAGAGTCATGCTTGACATTTTCCTCTCAAATTAAAGTTGAATTCTAAATCCTGCAGATGATTTGGTCATAAATCATATTTCTGTGACTATCCATCACTGTCTTACTAAAATCAAGTAACTGCCCCAGCAGTGTCAGGAGCAGTCTGATACTCAGGGAGGCTATTAGGAAGGGTGCTATGGGGATCTTCCGAAGCAGACAGTGGGAATAGCATGCTTAGGCAGGGCCTCCTAGATGAGCTGATAGCACAGGATGATTTTGGAATGTCAAAGTGGAGAGTCTCAAATTAAAATACATTTGTATAAGAGGGGTAGATATATTAATACATAATTTTAAATTATAGAAAACTAAGAAATGCCTTTTTGCTGAAAACATACAAACAGGCTCCTTTTCTACTCCTCAAACATGGCCCACTCCTCTGCTCCTTCCACGCCAGGTTCTTTGGCTCTGTGTATTCACTGCTCTTTTGCCTGGAATGATCCTAGAGCTCTCACATGGCTGGATCCTCCTCACCATGGGAACTCCGATGCCTATCTTCAGCCTTATCCAGTCTTCCCTGGTCGGTCTGTCTAAAAGTAGTCCCTCCCCTACTTCATTTATTTATTCATTACCTTGTATTTCTTTCTTTAACTCTCCTGTCATGGTCAAAACCCGAAATTATATTTTTCTTCCTTTTTTTTGAGAGGGGATATGTTTTGGTCTTATCTCATTAGAGCATAACTTCCATGAGAATAAGGATATTATCTGTCTT